TCAAAGGCGGCGGCGGCGGCCGGCGGCGCCGAGGGGGGTGACCGTCCGCGCGGCCGACCGCACGGCAGGGTCCGGTTCGGCGCCGGCGCTGCGCTGTGGGGTTGGGCGGCGGTGAGTCGGGGATGGCGAAGGCCGAAGGCCGGGGGCCGAGGTGTAGGGTTTGGGGAGGGGAGAGGCGAGGTGGGGCTGGAACTGGAAGCCTGGGTCTTGGGAGGAAGGAGGACGGCACGGGGGCATTTGACGAAGGGTTGCTTGGGTTGGTGGGATTTGTCGATGCGGGCGGGCGATTCGTGGGCTTGGGCTGTACCTTGTACGTGGGGCGCCACGGGCCTGACCGCGCGCTTTTCTTTGCAGTTGGTGAACGCACTCCCTCTGGACTACTCGCAGCGTGTGCTTAAAAAATGACCATTTTAGGTCCATGAATCTGATTTGCTTCTGAACTTTTAAAAATTATAAAACCATACAAATTACCTCTCTATTCTGTTTGTGGTTTCTAGACAGATAGCTCTTTTTCTTAAAAAAAATTCTCTAAATACTTAATAAGGTTATTAAACCATAGAAAATATCTCTAAGCTTCTAAAAATCTTGTCATTATTTTCTAGATTTTTAACTAAATTTTTATTGACAAAACCGTCTTCTAAATCATTTCGAATCAGAGATAAGACGTATGATTTTGGAATTTGACAAGAAAAACTAGACTGCAGTGATCACGAATGTAAAATGGACTTTTTCCTCCCGTGCTTCCAGCCTTCCAGTGCACGATGAAAACTAGTTGCGTTCTTTGGAATTCAGCTTGCATTAGTTGCGATATCCCATGTGCATCAGAAAAATGCATTTCTTTTTGTTTTCGTTTGGACTACTGTTGATTTTTAATAAAATATTTATATTAGTTAAAAAAACTCCTTCTTGTTTACATAATGTTGATCTTTTTTAAAAAAGACAAACGCTCACACACATACACGCATTCTCATGCATATGAACCTTTTTTTTTTGTTGTCCTAGCACTATCACAGATCATTTCGTAAATAATGTTTTCAAAAAATATTACAGAGTATAAATTTTTTAAGGATATGATTTGGACGAGATGCTACAAGTAATTTCTCAATTTTCATTAGGATTCTATCTTTTTTTATATACATTATAGCTTTCTTTCTACAAATTTCAAGGCCCTCACCCGAAACGTTACTAAAATTCCTTGTCTGTTTTGAAGCCTTTTTCATTCCTATAATTTTATTGTAAATTTTTATCCCATCCCTAAAACATGTGTTAGAATTAACTGGAAACATAAATCCTCAAATTTGAAATTTCAAACTCATCAAATACGTGTGGCTGTGTGCTGGTAACATCAAATGAACTTATTCGACTTGTTTGATTTCTACCAAATTTTGATCACCTATTCACGTCGTTATTTTTACCAAGATGGCTACCAAAATGATCTAATGTCAGCTTGGAGCATTGTAGGAGTCAAACAACCTCTTAAACCTGTACAACGCGTGACACTTGTGTGCGCACTTGCGTTGCATTTCTGGTGGGCTGGCGACATCTGCTTGAATAAACAGCCGACGGCTAAGAAATACTCTAACCAGACCGAGGTTATTGAAAGAGCCTCTAGCTGAGTTTTATTCCGTGGTCTGAGTATCCCTCGTCAGGTCCTGAGTTTGACTTCATGTGATAGCGAATTTTAGATTGGGTTAAAAAAATCTCCTTGTTTGTCTCATGCCAAAGCACACGTCTGAGGCCTAGCCCCGATCGTGTTTGTTCTCACGTGGAATGTCTTCTTCTTAATGTAATACTCGGGGGTTGTCTTACTCTACCCCCCCCGCGCTCGCCCCATGGTCGTGTCCGTTCTCACATAGGCTACAATGCTCTGTATATGGGGGGATTCGACCTGCGTGAGAAGGTCTTCTTAATGCAATATCCGGGGGCTGCCTTGCTCCTGCGGGTCGAAGTTTTTTTTTATTCTGAGAGGTTCTCGAACAAGCACTCGAAAAGGTTCCGCGCGGATCCTCGTGATTATGCACTCTTTTTCCCTAGATCATAGCATTACCTATTTCTTGGCGAGCTATAAGATGATCAGATTTATATTAAGGTCCTGTTCGCTTGTCTTGTAATCCGTACTTTTTAGCTTATTTTTTCGGTCGGAACAGTGTTTTTCTCTCACAACAAATCAGCCGGAACAGTGTTTTTGTTTGTTTTTCAGCGAAGCGAACGGGGCCTAAGTATCTCTTGTAAAATATGAGCAACACCAGATCCTTCTAAAGCGCAAACTTCCATTTCTTCTATTCGTTGTCCTCTTGCTTGGCTCTTCAAGTGGGGTCGATGAGCAAAGCCTGTGACAATATAGTGTAAAATAGGGGAATTTTAGGAACATGGATGAGGGGCTCCTGTTTGTTTGAGGGAATAGGGGACCCAAAATTTGAGGGCTCAGATTGAAGTTGCTCTAAGGACCTATTTGGCGTAGGCTCAAAAGGATGGCTGGGTCAGTCAAGTCTTCAATTTTAGGGGGTGTTTGCTTTCTTGTCCTGGAAAAACCGCCTGGGCCATGCACCGACGCCAAGTGTTCGGTCGGATGCACCTGCCTCGGTGCGGCTCCCAAGGTGAGGGCGCAAAACAAATAAGGGCCTGTTTGGATGATGTGGTTTTGGAAAACTATAGTATCACAATACTGTGGTTATATAAGCCAAAGAGACACAAAACCGTGGTTTAGAAGAAAAAAAAAAGAGGTCATAAGTTAAGTTTTTAAAACTCCAAAAAAACTATAGTTTTAATAAAACCATGGTTTTAGAGACTACAAGATTTGTTGCATCTAAACACCCAATAGCTTTTAAAAACCATAGTATTTCTCCAATACTTCAAAAATACTTTGCATCCAAACAGGACCTTAAGTCCTCGATGCCTGCCGGGAGCCCTAGACCAAGGTTTTTTTTAACCAGACCAAGATTTATTTGTTCCACATGTATTTGTCTGTCAGGCCCCAATCCAAATAGATCCGAAAAGCCATGTTATTATTTAGAGAAAGTAGCAATCACATCGTGAAGACCAAGGATACTTTTGTAAAAAAAAAAATTGCTCTCACTGTAGGTTACGACTCTTCTCCAAACACTACTAATCATACTCTCTCTCTTTAAGGGGTTGTTTGGATCTCCAGTTTCACAAACATAAACTTCTGTAAAATTTATTTTACCATGATTGCTTCTAAGTTTTTGTTTGGATTATCCAACAAACTCCCACAAGGATGATTGCTCCTAAATTTTTGTTAGGACCATCCAACAAACTCCCACAAGGAAAACCCAATCTCCTCAAAACTGAAAAAAGGTATATTAGTATAAACAACTTTTGAGAATTTTTCTGAAAAACGGCATAATCATTTCCTTCGCAAAAAAAAAGTTAATTATGATTTGAACCGAGTGAACATCTTTTTTTCGTCATCCTGTTTTTTCAGCTAGCAGGACCAAAACACATGTTTAATAAAACCCACAATAGTTGACATACCTACATAAAACTGGTCTCCCTAAAAATCTGGTTAAAACTCGTGTAACTAAAACATGTTTATATTTTAGAGATCCAAATAACCACTGAGCGTGTCTATTTAAGCAAAAAAAAAGGCATTCGTCCTAGACTTGAGCATTTTTGGCCTGGCCCAAATATCTTAGCGGACAGGGCTTAGATAAAGCAAACTAAAAAAAATCTCGGCCCAACCTAGCCCAATGTATTTATTTCAATTACTTTCACGCTAAAAACTAGTAGTGTGGCCCACCTGAACCAAAAAAAAGGCTAGCCTAACATGGCTCGTGATATGTTTGTGGGCAAGATTTTCCAGTCGAAAGAAACCAGGTTTGTTTTTTGGCCCAGCCAAACCCAAACAAAAATGGTCAGGTCTAATTTATGCATTGAACACATCCTGAGACCTTGTTTGAATCCATTTTGATTATAATAATTATAGATTCAAAAACAAGCTAGATTATGAGGTTGGTTATTGTAATCAGAACACCTAGTTACAATAATCATATAATCTACCTTGGACCTACTTTTTAGTGGTTATGAGTAATTTTTTTCACTTGAACCAAGAACAATCCACCACAATAACAAGGAATCCAAACACTATGATCACTATAGTCTATAATCTAGATTATAATAATCACATGTATAATTTAGATTATATAATAATCTACTTATGATCCTAAACCCTTAATGAGTAGTGAGATTGTTAATTTCTGTTACCTTTCTAAACTGGACAGACTTGGACATAGTTTCTTCTATGCTTAGCTGTCTGTATTCGTTGTAATATATGCTTAGTTGTCTATATTCGTTGTAATATTAGTGGGTCTGTTCGCCAATTGTGAAGTTATAACAAATTATAGAGGTGCACTTGTCTCGTGGGTGTATAGTCTTGTGTCATAGACGGTGTATATATATGGTAAATCTGAGTCAAAATCACTATTTTTACATTTCTACAGATATATTTGTACCTCTAATTACAATACAGCTTCAACAATACTCTAGTGCAGTACTGTAGCGAGTGCTGGCTGCAACTGTGTTTAAATGAACCTTGAATTCTTACATGCTTGAAACTGTAAATTTGAAACATTCTTTGTAAGTTCAAATCACGTCTCCCATCTAAACGAGGCTACTGTTAACAGCCCCTAACACCTTGGGACCAACGTGCCAGAGACACAAATTACAGAGCCGACCCCACCTAACAGAGAGACACTTCACTGCTGCAAAGAAGACACGAGCTTCAACTCCACGCAAGATCCAGTTCTCAACACGACCCTCTCCATATACTCCAGGACCCGACAGCCGAACACGTGACTCCAGCCAATGAGGGCGCACCACGTCACCCCGCCGCCACTCATATAAAACCTCTTGACCTCGCTGCCCGCCGCCGGCGACCACCAGACAGCAGCCCGCCACCGCCGCACGCACCGCGAGGAGGCATCGAGCGGTAATCTTGTCGAGAGCCACCAAGTCAGCGAAGCCCCGAACCGTCCCTCCCTCCCATGGCCGTCCGCCGCAGGACCGCGGCGGCCGCTGCCGGGGACCCGCCTCCGCAGGCGCCACCGGCAGATGCGGCGGCGGCGGCGGCGGCGGTGCCAGACGAACCGGTTCTCCGGCCGCCGAACCTGCGCGTGGCCGCTGTGGCCGCGGCGCTCTTCCTCGCGCCGTTCTCGTACCTCGCGTTCGTGCACTACCCGCTGGGCGCCGATCTGCAGCGATCCATCCTCAAATGCGGCGCCATGAGCCTCGTTGGCTTCTGCGTCGCGCTCAAGCTCATCCCTGTCGCAGCCCGCTACCACCTCCGCCGCCGGATGTTTGGCTACGACATCAACAAGAAAGGCTTGCCCACGGGCCAAATCAAAGTGTGAGTGCGCAAGCACATTTGCTTGTCCTATTGCAGATGCCATTGCTCTAGGAGTAGACTTAATCTAGATTCGAGTGTATGTTCTTCAGGACAACACGTTTTGCTGGTTTATTGATGCAGCAGTACTGTCAATATACTTATCTCAGCTCGATTGAAATCAATTGCATAGTTGCAGAGTTGGTTTTGTTCGGTTCCTATGCATGGCTTGTAAATTGTCGTTAAAAAAGAGATTGCTATTTAAAAAAATGGTGCATAAATTGGAAATTAGAGATTGCTCGCTCTTTGGATAATAAGTGAAGTTGGAATTTTCTGTAGGGATGGCTGAGGCTGCTTCCGGGTAGTTATTGATTATGGATTCCCGACCTAGTTGAAGGGTTACAGTTTAATATTTGATTTATATTATCTTATGGAGTAATCTTTAGATGAAATTTGTGTGCTTTAGAGAGTTCATCCCCTTTTGTTTATTGGCTTAAATAAATTCTAAAATAAGTAGGCCAAGCTTTGTTTACGTTCTTAATTTGGATGCCTAGCTTCACTGATGGACTGAAGAGGCAATATTATAATTACAATCTTGAGTTCTTGACCAAGTTTCACAGTAATATCTCCTATCTTTTTTTACATTATATAAACTCTTAAATAAATCAGCTGTGTAGCCATGGGTTGCTAAAAGCCTTCCCTTTAGCTCACATACCTACATCTAGAATTCATGCAGACTCATCTCCTTATGTGTGTGCAAACCAAATTCTTTGTATGACTTGGCAAATGTCCTTGGTTCTCTGATAGCTAGTATATTTAGAAAAATATAAAAAGTTTTGCTTGAAGAAGCGTGATGCCTTGTTTTCCCCCATGACGATGTTTCATGCTGGTACATATATGTGACTTAAGGTTGTGATAAACTCAGTAGGAGACACTTTTGACAAGCTCTTGAAGGTGTAGCATTAATATTTTAGATAACTGTGTAGGAATTCATATAACAACTGAAGACACAATGTTATAAGTTAAAGAATACCACTGTATGCACAACAACAACAACAAAGCCTTTAAGTCCCAAACAAGTTGGGGTAGGCTAGAGTTGAAACCCATCAGAAACAATCAAGGTTCAGGCACGTGAATAGCTGTCTTCCAAGCACTCCTATCTAAGGCTAAGTCTTTGGGTATATTCCATCCTTTCAAGTCTCCTTTTATTGCCTCTACCCAAGTCAACTTCGGTCTTCCTCTGCCTCTCTTCACGTTACTATCATGGCTTAGGATTCCACTACGCACCGGTGCCTCTGGAGGTTTCCGTTGCACATGTCCAAACCATCTCAACCGGTGTTGGACAAGCTTTTCTTCAATTGGCGCTACCCCTAATCTATCACGTATATCATCGTTCTGAACTCGATCCCTTCTTGTATGACCGCAAATCCAATGCAACATACGCATTTCCACGACACTTAGCTGTTGAACATGTCGTCTTTTCGTAGGCCAACATTCTGCACCATACAACATAGCAGGTCTGATCGCCGTCCTATAAAACTTGCCTTTTAGCTTCTGTGGTACCCTTTTGTCACATAGGACACCAGACGCTTGCCGCCACTTCATCCACCCTGCTTTGATTCTATGGCTAACATCTTCATCAATATCCCCGTCCCTCTGTAGCATTGATCCTAAATATCGAAAGGTATCCTTCCTAGGCACTACTTGACCTTCCAAACTAACATCTTCCTCCTCCCGAGTAGTAGTGCCGAAGTCACATCTCATATACTCAGTTTTAGTTCTACTGAGTCTAAAACCTTTGGACTCCAAAGTCTCCCGCTATAACTCCAGTTTCTGATTCACTCCTGTCCGGCTTTCATCAACTAGCACTACATCGTCCGCGAAAAGCATACACCAAGGGATGTCCCCTTGTATGTCCCTTGTGACCTCATCCATCACTAAAGCAAACAAATAAGGGCTCAAAGCTGACCCTTGATGTAGTCCTATCCTAATCGGGAAGTCATCCGTGTCTCCATCACTTGTTCGAACTCGTGATGGAGACACGGATGACTTCCCGATTAGGATAGGACTACATCAATCAAAATCTTTAGCTGGATCTGGTCTGACCTATAGCTATAGTCATGTTAAAGGCCATTTCTTGTTTGTCTAAACATTTTTTTTTTGCAGGCCTGAGGCACTTGGTCTTGTTGTGGGGATTGTCTACTTGGTCATTGCTATTATATTTCAGCAGTTTCACTATGCCCCAGACTCCATTGTATGCCATGGCTAGCAGTATTTTTTTGACATTTACAAACTATGTCTTATGTCCTGAAACATATTTCACAGTGACTTTTGCTGTCTTCTTGTTGCAGTGGCTTGTTGAATATAATGCAGCATTGACATCAGTCTGCTTTATGATTCTTCTTGGATTTGTTGATGATGTTCTTGATGTTCCATGGAGAGTGTATGTTGCTCGTGAGACTTTATGTTCACTTAAATAGTGATGTGCTACCACTGTTGTGTTGCTGATAAATTAATTTTTAAAATGTCCTGCATTGAAACAGGAAACTGGCGTTGCCAACGTTTGCAGCACTCCCATTGCTGATGGCATATGCTGGTGGCACTTCCATCATCATTCCAAAGCCTTTAACTCCTTATGTTGGACTAACGGTTTTGGAACTAGGTATGTGTATCCGCTTATAACTGGTTGAAAGTGTATATTTACTATTTGGCTGTTATACAACCAAGAGACAATTACAGAAATACACAAGCATAGCAGATCTCACTGTGAAATCCTTAGCGCTTCTTAGTCATTCACTTGATTATAACTCAAAAAATAGAATGTGTTTGTCAGTGTCTATGTTCTTCAACACCATATTTTACCTAGTATAGTGTCTATCGAGTTTTGCCTGCTGATACTGTTTTATTTTGTTCCTCATTTTTATGGCCGAGGTTCCCTGTAAGTCTTTTATCTTTAGCTTTTTTTCCATTGTCCAAAATAAGCCCTCCACTTTGGAACTTTGTCAAAATGTGCCACTCCTTATAGGTTAGTGACACTAACTTATAATATTTCTGGAAAACAGAGAAAAGGTTTTTTGTGGGATAGTTTTACATTATGCAGTCTTTTGGAAATTTGCGGGACTTTAGAAGTTGACTTTATTATATTATTTTGATCACAGATTTCATATGCTTACCATCTCGTGCAACTCTGTCACTTGTATTTTTAAGAGACTCACAACCTGTTTGTTCACATTTTGATAGAATCTGATATTTTGCATTGACTGAGCATGATAATTCTGTAATAGCGTAACATTTTGCTTCATTACTGGCGACAGTGCTTTATGCTTGGTGTGCGGATGTTGATTGGTAGCATACTACATAATAATCTGTCTTGTGTCTTCAGTGCTTGTTTTCGTGAACTACTTGTAAAAATTCCCTCAACTGCATGATTACCTATGTGTGTTTGCTTGTGAAGCCTATTTCCAATTTCAGCTCTGTTGCTAAACCCTGTTTCTGATTCTGTAATCAGAAGCTATTCTATACACTGATCTTTTGTTTCCTTTGGCATGCAGGTTTATTTTACAAGCTATTCATGCTCTTGTTAGCAGTCTTTTGTACAAACTCGATAAATATACACGCTGGCCTAAATGGACTTGAAGTTGGGCAGACAGTTGTTATATCTGCTGCGGTATAAACAAAATATATTCCTTTTGTACATGAATTCTGCATACCACACATGTCCTGATGGCGTGTGGCCTTTTCCAGGTTTTGATACATAATGTTATGCGCATAGCATCTTCTACAGACATTGAATCTCAGCAAGCTCATGAATTCTCTATTTATCTTGTCTTGCCTTTCCTAACCATTTCATTAGCTTTGCTAGCTTTTAACTGGTAAGAACCTTGAGAAACACACTAGATCTGTTTAAATCGGAGTTTTGTTTGTCTTCTTTTTTCTTTGAAGACAAATCATGACATTTATGCATCAGGTATCCTTCAATTGTTTTTGTTGGTGATACCTACACCTATTTTGCTGGAATGGCTTTGGCTGTGATAGGAATTTTGGGACATTTCAGGTAATCATCTTTAATTATTCCCTACAAATTTCACTAGTACTTTATTATTTATCAGTCAAGAATACCCAGCCAGCGTGATGTATGTTGTCAATTGTTTTCTTGTTTGGGTGCATGTGCATAAAAGCATTTCCCCTATTTTTCTTTTCTGGCTTTTCATTTTTTTACTGCATAATACGGGGTGTCTTTTTTTCTTTTCAACTTGCCCTTTTTTATCACCAACTTCATAGGGCGGATATGTGTGGGGGTGGAAAAGCTATCTTCGCTGTGAGCCCAAACCTGTGCCATTGACACTGTTTATGCTCATCCACCTGACATCTCTAGCATTAGTGTGCTAGATTTACATACCGACATGCAGTTCATTTTACCTATTATTATTTGTAATAACTGAATCTGATCAATGACTGTTTTGAGTTTGCAGCGAGACGTTATTGCTCTTCTTTTTACCTCAAGTTCTTAATTTCTTGTGTTCAGTCCCACAGGTCAGGAGAAATAATTTTCATTTAATTACTTTATTTTGACTCTGAGATATGAGTGTTTTATAGCTGAGTAGGTACTTAATATGCTTAAACTTCAGAATTATGTCTTTGTTTCCTGCAGCTCTTTCACTTTGTTCCATGCCCAAGACATAGGTTGCCGAGGTACTTTTGTGTTGCTTTGACCTAGAACCATGAAGAGAACTTATTACGCTATGAGTTCTTATGAAGTTTCTAAAATATGCTTCCATCCACAGGTTTGATCCTGAAACGGGTCTTTTGACTGGTACAAAAGATGGGAATCTGGTTAATATATTCCTTAGGTTATTTGGAAAGTGCTCAGAGAAGGCCCTTTGCATAAGGCTCCTTATTTTTCAGGTAGACTTGAAATGCCCTCTTGCTGCAGACTACTATTGTACTTCGTTGCAAACTTGTTTCTTGACTTCTGAAGATCTCGTGAACTGGCTCTGTTTTTCTTATTTGGTTATGCTGCAAAGAAGTCATAATTATTCACTTTTGCAAGATTCTTATTCTAAACAGGAGATTAGCTCTTTTCTAACAGCTAGAGAATAGAGGAAAGAACTAAGTTAATTAGATTCTTATGTTGAACTAGGTAAAAGATTCATCAGTTAAATCTGAACTCAGACCTGGCATTAACAACCCTTTCAGAGTGCGTGTCAATGTAAATCAGCAGAGTTGTCTGATACGTTGCACGGCAATAGCTATGGTGCACGCTGTCATATAGTACACCAAAATCAAGCATGCAAAGTTTTATGTTACTTGATAATGTTGCATGATTGCATCATTGAATTAGCTTTCTCATATCAGTAGTCCGAAACATAGACAGTCTAATTGGAATATACATCTGCATCATGGATGCTTTGGAGTTTGAATAAGCCGGTTCACGGAAGCAACTGCTATAATCACAACTTCATATATCTGCATTGTGATGTGCAACCACGTGAATGCATTGTGTTTGCATTTCCATTTGGGGATCATAACCCCTCGTCTTCATGTCTGACAGGCTCTATGTTGCGTATTCTGCTTCTGGCTAAGATACATGCTTACCGGATGGTACAAGTGATCACCTGCGAAAGTCTATCCATGTTGTCGCCCAGCTCTTTGGAAAATCCAGTTGCATCTGATGGCTGTTGTTTTCCTCGACATACTAGTAGACTAACCACCGGAAATTTCCAGTAGTATTCACGCAGTAGGTTTTGGATTCCTTTCCTATACTTGTGCTAACTAACAGTTTCCAAATTTTTGTAACTATATGTACAATTGGCTTCATGGAAGTTTGCTGCACACCTGAAATCCCTACTCTGTATACTTTTGTACCAAGAGCCTGTTTCTTGCCTGATATCAGATCATGTTTGGTTTAAAGAGTGGGATGATGGAATTGGAAAGAGTAAAATGTGCCGTAGGTCCTTACCTTTTCTCAGATTCTTAATCGGGTCCACAAACTCTAGGTCCACTCATGGACCTAGATAATCACTTTGAGAGTTTAGAGACCTAGATGAGAATACGAGAAACGTTTAGCTTTGAGAGTTAAAAGAAACCCAGAATTTGAGAAACGGCAGGACTAGCGTCCGGATGGACGTCCGCGGCTGCTCTGTTTCCCGCGTAGGGAGCGGACAGTGCGGACCTCAACTTGTTATGGGACCACCACGTGGGCATCGCATCGCCGGTGGCCTACCCAGGGCCACCACCTTCGCCAGGCTCACGTCGAATGGAGGGAAGAGAAGGGAAGGGAGAGGAGGAGAGTAGAGAGGGCGAGGCGTGCCGTGCGAGAAAGGAAACCCTGCGGCAGGCTGCTGTTCGCCAGCCATTGGTGTCCTTGCAACATGTGCAACATCCCGATCTACTTTTAAAACATGTAGATGCAACGCTTGCGATATACGTCCGAAGACAGATGAAACACTTTAAACATGCGTCTGAAACACTTGCAAAAACATTTGAAAACACTTGAAAATCATTGCAAACATACACAACATCCATATAAAACACTTGCAACATATGTGTGAAACATATGCAACATTCTGATAAACACACTTGCAACATATGTCTAAAAAATATATGAAATATTGGGAATGGACGCTTGCAACATATGTGTACAAGCCATTGTAACATATGCAACATCCCGATCTACTTTTGCAACACCCATGTAAAACACTTGTAACATACCTCTGAAACACTTGAAACAGACGATTGCAACATGCGCTTTTAGTAAACCCTAGCAGGCGGCTGGGTGGACGGAGCATTGCATAGCGGGATCCAATTGTGCAAGCCGCGGTGGAGAAGGAGGCGGCGGCCCTGTCCATCCATGTCAGGCTAGGCGTGTGGTGTGTCACGGCGAGGCACGACCAGCCCAGCGCACAGTTGCAGCACGCGCGGCCGGCACGGCGGCTGCCCGATCGGGGGAACGTGTGGCAAAACCACCCGAAATAATACGCTTCCGGAGGCGCTCGTCTTCCACTAGACGCTAAGCACCTCGAAAGGGAGCTACATCGGACGGTCCCGTCGAGCACACCCCAAGGAAGAACTCGAATAATCCACGTTTTTCATCTAGGATCCAATAATGAGAACGAGTTTACAATACTTAGTCCATTTCATATAACAAGAGTTCTCGGAAATATATTATTACAATACTAAGTTCAGAGTGCGGAATTTAAACAGCAGAATTAAAATAAAACATCTAACGATAAGATACAAGGACCCGTCTGTACCCACCAGAAGAATTCTCCACACAACAGCCACTCCTCAAGCTGCACCTGCAACAGGGGTAAATAAACCCTGAGTACACAATGTACTCGCAAGATTTACCCGACTAGTGAGAATAATTTTCCGACTCCAAAAGATATGATAAGCCTTATGGTTTGCTGGGTTTCCTTTTTGCAAAAAACATTACTAATAGTGAATCCTTATGTATGTATTTTATTAGCAGTCATGATTAATTCATTAGCTAACCATTCTATGTAAGCACCTGTTCTACTTTCAATCAAGAGTTTAGCAACCAGATTCATTCATCCCCTTTCATCTTTCAGTTCTTACTACGGTGCTAGATCATAGAAAAGTCATACCGTATCACACGGCGATTCGCGAACCAATGTATCGTAACTGGGTACCCCGAAACACATGCTCCGTTTGTACCCCAAGCATAAGCAAGACCAACCCACCACTCTCCTATCAAGGGGTCCAGGTCCCCGTCCAAACTTGGACTCCAAGCCCCCACTCCTGAGTCCCGGACTCAGTGTGGTTCCTAGACCTCCACCATCCCCGCCTCTAATCAGTCGGTCCGAAAAGAGCCGAAACCCACGACAAGAAAGAGATGAGCCTTCTTGCTCCCATAAGCAAGTATGTGCTCAGGATAATAAGTCTGTGACCTGACTAGAATCCAATACAATGGACGATCCTTAACCGACACGGACAGAAAAAATAGTGTAACTAAGCTATGCCCGTTGGCCGCGGAACACAACCTATTACACCCACCAATACCCGTACCATATCCTTGCCCGGTCTCTATTTCCTTTCACCATTTTATCATGAGAGTAATAATAATAATCACCTATTGTGAGTAACGGCAGGTTACTCACGTTAGCGATAGTCCAAGCATAGCAGCTACTCGCCTATGCTAGTAGGACTCATAGGTAGGTTATCTATGCATGTAGTTTTAATATAAATCCTGTAACGTAAATGCACATCACATATATATATATATATCCAGTGATTATTCAAAATAAGGGTTATGCACTGGGGCTTGCCTTGGGCAGACGGGGTGTCAGCAAAGTCAGTCACTGGTGGCTCTGGGGTTCCCTCCTGTACGAGAACCTCCTCCTCGTACTCCTCAATCACCTCCTCGTACTACTGCTTGCCCGCGGTCACGAACTCCACCAACTCGTTCTCTACATACATGCAACGATAATGCAACACTTAGTATTACGACAACAACAACAACTCTTAAAATAACAATACATCTACCAAGCTACTAAGTTAACTCTAACGACTAAGATGCTAAGCTACCCATCCTTTACACTAAATAGGTATGAAACATTCAAGTATTATCTTAGCAACTAAAATGTATTTCTTCTTTTATTAACAATTTAATGTATATTAAAACAAGGAGCACCTAACTACCTTATTTCTTGGTCTATTCTAGGGCCACAAAAATTACAGTGAGCACATAATAGTACAATAAACCTACGGTAAAAATTTCATAAACAAAACTATTACCAATTTACCATAAAAATTCCTATAAATATTAACCTAAATAATGTTAAACACTCTCAAATGATTTAATAAGCCTTAGCATCAACTCAGACCTGCATAATCTAGTCATACCATCATATAGACAACATTTTTAGGAACTCAATAAAATTTATTTCACAATTTTTGGATACCTATGCCAATTGATATTAATTTTCAAAGTTCAGCTCAGAAATTAAAACATAAAGCTATTTCTAATTCCTTAAGAAAAGGAAAAACGAATTCACCAGCGCTGCCCACAACCACGCGAACTCGGCCCACTTGCGCGTAGCGCGCGCACGCGCAGCCCGCAGGTGCGGCCCACGCACACAGGCTGGCCCGCGGTGAGAGACAGCCCACGCGCTGGCGCTTTTGCAGAGACGCCCCTACGCTACCTAGCATTCGCACGACGTTCGCACTATTCATGTAGACAGCAACTTTGCAAGAACACCCTCGCAATCTCCGCGCGCGCCGGCGCGACGAGCGGTGGCACTAGCGCTTGCGTCGGCCACACGGTACCCACGCTGACCTATCTACGAGGCCGACGCTCAACTAGGGTTTGACACGAAGCGATCGGTGGCGGTTGCACGAACTGAGACGTAGTAGATGGGCCTCTCCACGACGGCAGACACCCTACGGCAATGGCGACAGCATTCTGGTGAGCCACAGTATTAACAAGGCAGTAGGGATAGCGGGTGAGCAATAGGGACTCACCACTGACCTAGCGGAGGTGATGGTTCGGCCGGAGATGCCCTAAGCGAGCCTGACCACGTGCACGCGGCGAGCTCGGCGACGAACCGCAGCAAAACGGCTATGCCAGCGACGAGGAGGCAACGATAGAGGTGCAGCTTAGGTGTGCACGACGAGGAGGGGTTCTAGGCGGGGCTAGTGGTGCAGCTAATTTGGCTCGAGACGTTGATGAGGGGGCAGGCCACGGTGAGGGCGGTGACGGGTCTTAACGGCGCGGTGGCGGGGCGAAGCTCCAAATTGGAGCTTGGCCTTGCACGGTTCAAGTTTCGGTGGGGGTGGGCAGCGAGAGGATGTGAGAGCGTAGGCGTAGGCACGTGGAATTGATGGAAGATGGCTTCTCGCATGCAGGCGGGCTAGCGCGGCTCGGCGGCGGCAGCAAAGAAGAGGACAGGGGAAGGGCGGGAGACGGTGGGGACACAGTCAAGGCTCGGCCTATGCTTGCTTGGAGGGATACGGTTGACGCGACCG